TGCTGTAATGGCATCGCGCTGTCTGCCTCCTCCGTTCAGAACGGGTAGCGACTCCGTTGCTGACTTGTATGTTCGTCGTCGTTTCTTCGGTCTTCATCAGTCGTTGTCGTGCTGCAACACCCCCGTGTGTCAGAGGCATAGAACAGGTTCTGATCTCCGCCGATTTTTCGCAGTCTGCCTCAGTCATTCAACAACTTGCGTAGCCCTTGGTAACCCGGGCGACGACCGAGACGGTTTAATTTTCAATGGCTTCAAATCGATGAGTGGCAGTTGCATAAATTTTATTTAGTCTTTGCCACTGTCTCTAACCCTCTTCCATTCTCAAGCATGCTTGGGATCGGCAACGGCTGAGTTTTAAAAGGATTTAACGATATAGTTTTGTTATTCAGTTATCCGTCTTGTCCTGGTTATGTGTGCGCTGTGAACAAACTCGAGCTCCTCCAGCACTCTTTTTTTTCGTTTTCTGCTTTCAGCGCTGACTAGTCTGATTAATTTGACCATCGGATCATCCGATGTCATTATCCTTCCGATTATTGGATGATCGATTCGACATTAACGGTCCAGTGGAACCCTGTTTTAGTTCTTAACGTTCATCGGTTGTTAGACGAGCCACATCACTTACTCTCTTCTCTTGTCGTCGTAGAAAGCAGAAATTGCGTAGTTCTGCCATTATTGACTTGTACTTTAATTTAACGTGTTTAGTGACTGCCTCATGCAAATAGCTCCGGATGATGGAACTAGTGTCTATCAGGCAATTCGTAAGATGTAGCATAGTCATCAGACTTTGTCGATTCTGCTGGATGAAAACCTCTCGAAGATCGCCACAGATCTCTTTTTCTTCCATTTTGAGCCAGGAATTTTTCAGCCCATCCCGCCATGGATCGGAAGATTTCATACGAACCGTTTACTCTTTTTGAATCCGGGTAGTTTATCTGTGGTCCAGCGATGGCCAGTTTTTCTTGAAACGTGTTCTCCCCTTTGTGAGGTGTATATTTGTATGAATTTAGCGGTTTTATCTATAATGATGATGATATGTATTTCCTCATAGTTAGATATGTTATATGCACATCTTACCTTCTAGGGTGATAATCAGTCCATGCTGGTAAAATATGTACATTGATATTAGTTCACGATTCAGTCTGTATCATTATGTACATGAATCTGTTTCGCAAACAACCTTTTCAC